ATTTTGGCATTGCACAAGGTCATGGATTTATTCAACTGTTTGTGACGTCTTTACACTAAATCCGTTGGATGTGTAATGATTGATACTTTAGTCTGGGAAAACATGATTTGAACTGGCTTTCAGTAACTGCGAGTACTCTTGTTCTGGTGCTTTCTGTCTATTGTTTTTATGTTAGTTGTGTTTGTACTTCGAGCCGATTTTTTTAGTTAAGCATATTGCAACTAATTTTACAGTGTGTTCTTTTCTTGTGCTGTTACACAACTGTTGCAGGTTAGAGGAGGGTTGAGCGCTCACAAATTTTTTTAACCCGCCACATTCTTTATGTTCCTGTCCCAAGTCAGGAACCTGTAGTTCAGTGGCGGTCGTTGGTTTAAGTCTGTCATATTTGTTTTTCATAAGTTTTTTTGTTATAAATTAGGCCGTTAGTTTTCTCAATTGAATTGATTCACATTTTTCATGTCGTGGCCTTTTATAGCCAACTATGCGGTACGTGTTTTTCTCTCTGTTGAAGGCCGTACGGTTGCCTATAATTGTTTACATCCACTTCATTTGAACTTTGGAGGATAGTTGTCTTATAGGCTATCATACAACATGTCCTTATTTTTATACTAAGGGTAGTTCAACCAATTACTATTCCCCCGATAAATAGTTTTTTGGCTGCACTTAATTTTGTTTTGCTAATATGGTGTTATTATAATATATTTAACTCTTTACACTACACTTCTACACATTCTTAGCAAACAAAAGTTTTCCTATTTAATTGAATTGTCGTTTGAAAAATCTGATTGCAAATGTATTTGCTGCAACTCATTGTAAGCCTTCTTCTCTAATGAGAAAGGTAAATATGCTAGATATACTTACTGGAGGTATGATGAGATGATTGAAGCTGTTAACTTTCCCCTTGACAACATTTATGTACGTTTCGGCAATAAAGTTTATCGACAGGTTGTAGGTATTCCTATGGGCACAAGTTGTGCCCCTTTAATAGCAGACTTGTTCTTGTACTGTTTTGAATCACAGTTTATAGCCATACTCTGTAAATACCCTTCTAAATTTCATAAATTCAGCAACACTTATCGTTATCTTGATGATATTTTTTCGTTAAATAATCAAGAATTTTCTAAATATACTGCCGTAATAACTGTCCTTTCTTACATTTAGATATTTCAGTTTAACATAGGAAACTCTACACTAAAATTTATGACAAAAGGGACGATTTTTCTTTTTTGGATGGTGATGTTCTCTTGACACAATCTTACGGTGTTTATGTCTTACAACTCGTTCGCTATGTCCGTGTCTGTAGTGACGTTTTAGATTTCAATGAACGTAATCTATGTATTACTTGTAAATTATTAAGTCAGGAATTCCGTTACCACACATTACTTTAAACCTTTACTAAATTCTTCCATAGATACAGAGATTTAGATTGGAAGTTTGGCTGTACCTGTAGAAAACTTATTTCAAACATGATGGCACATCCTATTTTTTTTACGGAGAGGTTGTTTACTTAGCCCGGAAATTGAGATACGATCCGGGAAAACTTATCGATCCTTTAAATTATCTTATTCTAAAAGGTACCAATTCAACACTGTAATAAGATCTTTGAATATTGTTTTATTGGTATAAATATTGATTCTGTTATCCGTAAATTAAAACCAAACTAAATATTATTGTTATATGCATATGCTCATTCATGGATCTACAATCTGTCGATACATGTAATTTGGCATTGCACAAGGTCATGTTTTTCTCTGACTGTAATTAACATCTTTACACTGAATCCATTAGATGATGGATGTGTACTGATTGCTATTTTAGTCTTAGATACATGATTTTTTTATTAGTTGTTATTGAACTAGCTGTCAATAACTGCAAGTACTCTCAGATCTGTTGTTAGTGTCTTTTTTGTTGTGGGGATGTATAAATACTCTGCCACGTCCGGTCTGTGTTTATGTTACTTGTTTTTCTTTTTTGTATCGATCTGATCTGATCAGGAGCCTGTAATTCAGTGGATGTCGTTTGTTGCTGTATATCATATTTATTTTTCGTTCTTTGTTTTGTTCATAGATCAGGCCGTTAGTTTTTTCTTTGAATTGTTTTACATTTGTCATTTCGGTGCCTTTTATAGCTTACTATGCGGCATGGGTTTTGATCATTGTTGAAGGCCGTACGATGATCTATACATTTGTAGTTGTTTTAACTTCTATGTCATTTGGACTCTGGTGGAGTGTTATTTCATTGGCAATTATACCACATCTCCTTATTTTTATAAGTATTAAAATCTTTATCTTTTGTTTCTTATTACTTAGATATATAACTTCTGTTTAAGGTATTCCGGTGAATATATATATTGGTGGGCTTACATGTGCATGTCGTCTGACTGAATTAATCTAACGGTTTAGCATAAAATGTTAGGTACGTCTAATAGAGAATTGATCCTATTCAACAAAATAAAAAAGGGAAGTTGACGAGAGAAGAAAATATTACTATAATGTTAAAGTAAACTATATGCATGGCCCTAAATTATGATATATACATAGGTGTCTTAAGATAGTCCTAAAAGAACGATGTCCAAAGTTGAAATATCAACAATAAATTATTTGTTATACCCTTTTGTGGGTATAACATTGCGACTATTCTTGTTTTCTGATACATGGATGACTGTCTCATTGACAAATAACACATAATAAAGTTTTATTTGTGGGTAAAAATTAATTTACCAATGTGTAGGTTTAAGTTATCATTGTAAACTCCTATTATTGTAACTGGACTTTACTTTTGTCTAATAGAGGGTATATTTAATCAATATGCTAGAAATGTCTATGTATCATTAGTGATCACTGTTCTTTGGTGGTCAGTATTTGAAGAATTTATCTTTGTGCAAATACTATCCCATGTCTTCTTCTTAATACTATTCGTCGCCACATTTGATACCTTGCTGAATAAAATTCCCTTGTACTTATTCACTTCGGCCAGCAGAATTTAAATTTTGGTTTCAGAAACATTTCGACTTTTTCATACTGATTCAATACATGTAATAAAATCGAGTGGACATAAGGACAAAACTAGTTTATAGAGCTTAACGTTTACCAAGATGATTGTCTCTAACAAAGTTTTAGTATGACAATTTAGTTTAGTTGTTGTATGAAAATTTATTTATCCTTTTTAATAGTATATATAATCACGTATCTATTATTATCGCTATTTTGTGTATTTTTCCTTTAATATTTTATTGTGATAATATTGGTTATCTTCGTATAATCAGGGGTGTACAGAATTTACACCGGTGTGGAAAATTCCGTACACCCCTGATTTCACCAAGATAACGAATTTATTTCTTATGAAATGTTCCTTTACTCATTTTTATATCGGGGTAAAATTGAAAAATGATTTTTTTAACACCGATGTTGCTGCGCATTGTCAAAATATTAACTTTTACTTATTTTCCCCCTCAAAAACTAAGTTTCGTTATCAGTTTGTGTGAACATGACCTATTTTGACCGCTTTGTTAAGGTCCTTTTGTTTATCAAGTTTATATGATTAAAGCCTGTTTTGGCGGGTGTTTTTGTGTCATTTTTTAGTCTGCAATACTGTTATAATTCATTTTCTTTCCAAGCGTAAGAGGGGAATTGGCTAAAACAGAGGGTTCGTCTGCAATTAATAAATTACCTACCTGTGTGTTTGTATCAAATATGTACTGCCTCGCAAATATTTTTGTTCCGATAATAATAATAATAATAATAATAATAATAATAATAATAATAATAATAATAATTTTGTGGTGATAATAATAATAATAAATTGATAATTATAATAATGATAGTGCTGTATTTTGACATTTATTCAAACATATAATTATTGTTTTAATATACTGGGGTAAAACGCTATGTGCACTGTATTAAAATGAACATCAACGACAAAAAGAAATAAGTAAATACGGATTTATCAATTAAAGCTTCTTTGAATATTTTGCCAAATTGATCAAAATTAACATTCAAAAGATTTTTTCCCCAATTGTTAAACGGATTATTATCCTAATTATATCTAATAGATAACTTTATACATTAACGATTTTCCATGTCACACTGACTTTTCGAGTTTCCAAACACTAGACACATCGACAAAACGTGTGTTACAGACTCGGTAACAATGCAAAACACCACGGGTTACCATAATGGTACAAGATATTTTGTGCGATATTGTGTGTATAAATAGAGTAATTTGACACATCAACGAACGAGCGATCTCTCTTAATCGTTGCGGAATGGGACATCCTGGGGCTATGTCACTTAATTTTATGCGAATCGCTTAAATCTTCACTTTTTCATTTAGCAGGTGAAGTCAAACATTTGTCGTTCAAAAGTTTAATCCCTTAAATGATAAAGATTTCGTTTCCACCTTTCTGCTAGCATTTATCAACTCAATAATGAACAAAACGAAGACAATTATAATGATTCAATCTAAACAATTTCCCCATCAGCTGGAGAGCTTTGGTACACCGTTTTTTAATTCTAACTTGTAGTATTTTCACCATCTAGAACTGATTTTCTAAGCAATAAAAATCTCATGAAGCATACAAGCGACAAAGAACAAAATTTCAACACTGGATAAAAACCATAATTATTGTATCTTGTTTCCTCCAATAGCTTAGGAGATACGAAGTTGAGTCTGTAATTATTGATGGTTTGGGCGGAGTTATGTTATTAGAATCGCTTTAGACACGCTTTAGGTCTGATTATAAAGTTAAGGAACATGAGCTCCTGCATTGTTAAAACAAGATGTTATCGGTAATCGCTAATACTGAATTTAAATGTATGTAGTTTTCACTAATTGTACGTCAGTCAAGTACTTGAAGCAATTTCTCCGCACCAACCATACACACCACAGTGTTTGTCAAAAACACAAGTAATTTATTCATTGAGTAGAATCATTTGTTTTGCATTTCTAACATTCAGAACGTTTTACGAAAAGTTAAGCATAGTGCCATAACAGAAAGTGTTTTTGTAAACCAACAAAAAAAAACTTTGAAAATCATGTCTGAAAGCGAAAAGCCAAGGGAGACAGGAAAATCGTTTAGCATAAGTAGTATACTGGACAATAGTGATGAAAACAGTAAAAAAGAGAGTTCCAATGCTCCAGCAATTGTTTCAAAATTAGAATTTCCAGACAATCCAGCTAAAAATGTTTTATCGGGATCACAACATTGTTTTTTGAATCCACTATCTACATGGTACCAATGGTATGCTGCAGGTCATCAGATGTTACAACACTTCCAACAAGAAACTTATCAACGTAAGTTTTATTTATTTATTTATTTATTTATTTATTTATTTATTTATTTATTTATTTATTTATTTATTTATTTATTTATTTATTTATTTATTTATTTATTTATTCTTTCACGTTGTTGGAATTTGAAAAAGATTTTAAAAAATATCTAGAAAATGTCGTAATATTGTTATTTTGATCATGTCATATGCTGTATATTCTTAAATAAATGTGCAAGTACGCAGAGTGTTGCCATCATGCAATATCAATCCATGGCAGGAATATAAAAATACGTTTTATAAATAATTTTAACCATTTTAATAATAAGTTTGAAGCTTTATTGAAAGTATATTTTAAAGTACACCATTCCTGTTGTTGTATATTTTAAAGACTTATTTGACTTAAAAGAAATAAAGTTAAATGATCAATTATGAGACAAAATAAAAAAAATGCAAATAAATCTTGGAATGAGATACTTATCATTAATTTTAATATATCTCATCATATTGTTAGTGATGTCAATTTCAAATAATATGAAATGTATCTCCCTTATACTAGTACATTGCTCGGATTTAATTGTCCGGTGTTGGTCATACATTTCGGTCCTTCTCGGTTATATCAGCTCCTCGAAGTTTGGATTAGGTTTTGTTGAAATGCGCACTTTGTGCATTAATTAAAATTGGTACCTTAAATGTTATTACTGTACAGTAATTAATTTTGGATCATACGATACATATTTTAGCATGAAAAAAAAATTGAATAGACATTGTTTGGAAAAAAACAAGGGTAAATTGAATTCACTAATTTTAGAAAAACAGAAAAAAATTGTGTAGAATCATTTTAGTCTTATTATTTTATTAATATTTTCCATCTTTATAATAACTTTTATAAAAATGAAAGTACTGAAAATATGCGACGTTTTTATATGTGAAGAATAAAATTAATCGTTTGATTTTATATCTATAGATTGAGATTTTGCCCGACTATTTCATGTAAATTGAGAAAAAAACAAATATATTTTTTTTATTGACATATATGGAACAATGGATATATTATATCAAAGCGTTCACTACAAAGATATTATTTTATATTTTATATTTAAAATTCTATATGAAAAATTACAATAAAACAAAATATATACGTTTTTTAATATGAGTTGTTCTCATGTTAGCAACAGTACCCAGAATACATAATGTTTAATTTTCTTCTTCTAACCTTTTAAAAATGTTGCGGCAAAAATATCAATTTTGACAGGAATCACCCATAAATCAAACAGTCAACGTGTATTTTATTAAATAAATTTGATTTGCGCTGTGTCCGTCGTGCATTTTATTGAATATATTCGATTTGCTCAGTTTTGCTCAATAAGATAACAATTTACTTTTTTTTAAAGATAATTCACTACTTTTTAAAAACTTTTGCAATGCTATAGACATAAGCAAACGCTTGCTAGTTACCATAGACTACTTAATTCATTCTATATTTAGGACTTCAAACACGTAAAATGTATACCTTCTTTTGACTGAAGCTTAAGACATAGGCTAATAAAAAAACTCACAAGGAGACTATAACTCAATATGACGGTAAATACAGCGTGTAAGTGGCATTAGGATCTCAATCTTTTATAAACCAACAGTCAGGACAGGTTGGGAAAGAGGTTTATTTGCAAGATATGTCTACTTATGAGATTTTTTCAACGCCAATGAAACTTTTTTCTGAAATAACCTTCATCAGTCCCAAGAATGAAATCATTAAAAAACCATAAAAGCTCTAAAATAGAAAAACCTAAATCGGTCTAAAGTTGACTTTGCTTGAGGGAGTTGTAACCTTGAATATGGTACAATTACATTAATTATAAACTTGTAATATAATCGAGCTAGTCCTTACCCGGCTCTTCTTATATAAACATTAACTCTCTTTATTAATGTTAATACTAGAGTTTAGAACTTAAAAAAAATTAAAATTGGAATTTCGTGGAATATAAAACTCTCCTTCGTCTATAAAAGAGTAGTTTGTAACTTTTCTAAGTATGGGTATTCCTTCTTATGTTGTAAATTTGCTTATCAGATGACTGTGTTACTATGTTGACAAATGATCTAGTACTGTTTATAAACCTTGCATTAAAATATAAAATTTCCTTTTTGTATCATCTACTTATTTGCACATGCAAAAGACGTTAGTTGTTAGGTCACATTATACAATCATTGCTTTTAAAATATTTTAAGCAACACATAAAATAAAATTTCTCATACGTCCTTTTGTTCATTTGCTTTCCTTTTTACTCTTAATGTAAGAAAAAGGATGAAACGGATTTTATTTAGGATTTTTCTCTCTCGAAAATATGGCCTTCACATAATGATTAAATAAAGGACGGGTTGCCTTGACTACTAAATCATTATTTTAGAAATGTGTAACAAAAACCCTAGTTTGCATTGTACATCTTACGGGTCCTTTACAAATAAGACGTTTTCCGTATTATACTTTAACGTTGTTATTTTCGGTCTTGGTTTTTTTAACATCTTATTACAGAATTTACATTTTTTTATAAATGAGATAAAACAGTTGACTCGTACAATACTAGTATATCTGTATTGCCTACCCTATATTATATCCCTAAAATTGTTATGTTGAAATATATGATAAAAAGAAGAATGTATGTATATAAGTTCTCAAGCTTTCGGTCCTCTGGCTGGTATTGATGTCTGGAATTGATTCTGTATATATGATAAAATTATGCTATGTATTATTTATATTCAACTATGAATAAGGAGTATTAGGGTTTTTTGTGGCGTAAAAGACAATGGCAATAAGACTGAATTTGATATCTCTTAAAGGAATATTATTTATAAACAATTTCTTACTATCATTTCATTATGATAATATCACAATTAGACCTTAAATAGTTAAATTGCAGAAAAAGGATGATTTATGGTGGTTTAGATATTTTTACAATATTTTAGGCCTACGTTTTCCAACCTAAAACTTTAAAAGAAAATGAATATTACTCGATGAAATAATTCTCCCAAATAATTTGTTGAAGCATGAATGTGCATATATTGCTATATTTGAAGCATCTTACTGTGTCTAAATTGAGATTCAAATGCCGTCAAAATTAAAAATTCTTTATAGATATACATTTTCAGAGGAATGTTACACAAATTCCTGTTGTGATAACATATCTTGATAAGATTTAACTGTTTTCGTGCATTACCTTATTAATTTGTACCATATTCTACCGACAATGAGAAATTATTTTCTTCTAAAATTTTGAGATTACACAATGGGCCTAATGAGTCTTTGTCAATTGAACGTTTGTAGCTGATTGTTGCATGCTTAAAATCCAGTGGCAAATATTTCAAGCATATTCAGGACGAGAACAAATCAGCAATTAATACAATATAGGGACAGAAATTTTAACCTGCAACATGCCACTTGCGGTCCCTGAAAGAGGTTTTACAAGAATTTTGAACGCTCAAAAGGCGTGGCACTATCTTATCAAGTGTCAAAGAATTCAATGTCACCATTTCTACAGGAGGAAACACGTTTAAGAATTAATTAGTTTTTTGTACAGTTCTCTTTTCTTTTCATTTTTACAGATATACGCTACTACATTTTTATTTTTTTCTAATGAAATGCCCGATCCGATTCAAGACTCTACTACTTTTTATACTGTAAATTGCAACCCGTACATAATATAACAATTTGAAGAAACGCATTTAAAAATAAAACAAAAATGCACCACAAAATATCATACATGTATCTAGGATTTTTGCACAAACATGTTACATTAACGTCGAAGAGAGTGCAAGTTAACCAATCATGAAAACGATGAGTAATTGACGAAAAACAAATTAATTGACCACAGTTTTATAACTTGCTACAATTATTTTTTACAATACAATACACTAGGAAGGTATTATTTACGTTTTATGCACACACAATTACTAAATGTGATTCAATCAGGCTTGTTAAGTATGTAACTTTTTTGTTGGTATTAAGTTGGATTAATCTCCATCATAGGGATTTTTTTTAATAAAAAAAACAACCAAAAAAAAACAGCAAAAACTTTATTTATTTTTTATTAAAACGATAATGGCTGATGAGGCAAAGCATTGAACTGTAACAATCTTAACGCATTATCTTTTTATTACCTTTTCAAAACAATAAACCTCTAAATAGAAATTAAACATTCATATGATAAAAGAAACTCTGGCTTTTAAGAGATGGAAAGAACTTGATGCATGTGTCAAAAGTATTTGTGACATACCGTTACAAATTGAGTGTTTTCATTAAAACCTACAAATCTTATTTGATAGTTATTCATTTGAATAATTTTGCTCTTTGACTAATAATACCACACATAGTGGAGCAGCTCTTAAGTCAATAAATTGCTCTTAAAATATGCTTCAAACTGTCAAGAGGGAGATGAAGCCTAAATGACTATTACACTCACATAATTCACTCAAAAGCCACTTCAACTCTTTTGTGCGTTTATGTACAATCCTCTTATTTTTGATGAATATGGCGAATTAATCACGGATCACAAATTTATATCTCTTGAATATCGGGTCGACATGCGACTGGGAATTCACCGCCATGAAATCGACATCGTCTTAACATCTCATTAGCCGCCAGATGATTTTATTGAAAAGATAATGACAGTGATTTGGAATTCCAAACAAAAACAAAATGAATTGATAGAAAGGAGAGAAAAATGAAGCCGAGCTACAACTAGCATGTTAAACTATTATTACAAGTGGACCACAGGAAATAATTTCTCTTGTCGTTTTTCTTTAATTTGAAAATGACACCAGAATTAGAAATAAAAAAATCAATTATATTTCTAATATAAATCTCAAAAACATGTTCTAAACGTTTGAAAAAAAAACCAGAATTTGATATTTATGTTATTATTTCTTTCCCTCGAAGTAATTAAAATCTTTTAAAACACTATAATTAATTCCCCTATAATCAAAACTTGAGTTACAGTAAAGTGAATGCTAGATAAAGAAAATTATATACTAATGCATAGAAGCAATGCGTTTAGTTTCAACAAAGAACGGTTCATAAGAGCCATTAGTTGAACATTTAGCCATCAACTAGCCAACTACAAAAAATGTATGATAATATAAAATAACCAATTGAATATTCATTCAGTTTGTTGTGATCTTGTATATTTAAATCAATCTTATAAAAAAAACACTCTTAAAACTGCTAAGTTTCAATAAATTTTAAATATAGGTAAATGCACAAAAAAAAAGGATGACAAAAGCAAAGCAAAAAAAAAACCCCAAATATAACCAATCAAAATTATCCATCAAATCTTCCGTATTGTAATACTTCATTGTATGTGGATTCTTAATTCTCAATGATATCATTCACCCATTAGTCCTTCCTTTCTCTTTGTCCACGGTTTTTTGCATACATTTCGATGAATTTAAGTTGACGGATTTTGTTCTTAAAAAAAAACTGATTTCAACACTTTCGACTGATTTCTAGTTTTTAAGAACAGTAAATGACTATAACTAGAAAAAAGCCCGCATCTATGTTATTTCACGTTAGCTCCAAAGTGTTGACTTCTAAAAATGGCCAAATAAACAAAGGAAAAACGGGTTCCTTTAACTATTTATGTTTTTCTATGCAATTTCTTCGGTATCTCACCTGTGCAGGTTTTGCTTTGAAATGAGCAACACGCTCTAAAAAGTAATCGTTGCAAAAGCTTCAGTTGTTAATTGGTTTTTTGGTTAATCTTTGTTGATTCAATCTTCATGTCTTCTGGTTTGGTGAATTTTGGATATTCCTTTCTGCATGTATATATGTTCTTTTGTAGTTGGACATTATTTAGGATTTCCTCCCAACCAAATGACTTTGATATGCATTTGATATGTACAATATGCCTGTTTTGTGCCTTGCCAGGAGACTGCAATTCCCTGGTTGTCGTTGGTTGCTGTTTGTACTATTTGTTTTTCGTTTATTACTTTATCATAAATCAGATCATTGGATTTCTTGTTTAATTTTTTTCAAATTGTATAGCTTGTTATACTGTATGGGTTTTGGTTATCGTTGAAGGCCGCACGGTGACCTATAGTTGCTTACATCCTTGTCCTTTGGTCTCTGGTTGGGTTATTTCCCTAGCAACCATACCAAAGTTTTATACATTTATAAATAGTATAATGAATATGTAACTTTTGTATTTTCAGATTCATTGGGACTTGGTATCAAATCTGGCTCACATGATAAAGATATAACGTCTTTTTCATTCAAAAGATCTCGTAGTCCGGATACGTGCATCACGAATGACAAAGATACAAAAGAAGACGATTCAGTGTCTGTCGACCATGACGATGACATCTGTTGCGACGGATCAGACGACGGACAAAAACACGAAGATTCAATGTCCGCAGACTTAAATGACGACGACAGAAAGAATAGACGAAAGAAAAAGACCCGAACAGTATTTTCCCGAAGTCAAGTGTTTCAGTTAGAATCAACGTTTGATATGAAACGGTATCTTTCAAGTTCAGAGAGAGCAGGATTGGCATCTTCTTTACAACTTACAGAAACACAAGTCAAAATCTGGTTTCAGAACCGTCGAAATAAATGGAAGCGGCAGATATCGGCCGAATTAGAAGCAGCAAATATGTCACATGTTGCTAACTCTCATAGATTCATCCGAGTACCTGTGTTGTATCACGAAACACAAGATTCTGCACAGGTACCGGAAGCAAACAGAAGTTGTCTAAGTACGTCATTACCACATGTTAACTATTGCGAACCATTATATTTGTCTGCTGGTTTCTCACAGATGAACCCATCCGTTCGGTCATCAATGTCTGGCATTGTATAAAAAGGACTATTTTATTGTGTATTTAAATGCCGTAATTATTTAACGTTTCTGTTGTGATTTTTCGAATGTTTTTATAAAAAAAAAAAAAACTGTTTTTAAAGCTTGTAAGTGTTTCGTTTTGAGCTTAAAATTTTGATGATCGAAACGATAACTTTATCTTCAAATATATATGTAAGAGACTTATATGTGACTCATAAAACAAATTCCAAAGGACATGTACACAATGTGTATGCTTAATATATAATCTTGGGAATTCATTATTTTATTCCTTATCATTCAACTGTTGTGCAATATTTTTTATTTGATTAAAACTGTTAATTGTTATATTCTATTTCATTGCCTTATTGTTTCTATTAGTGTAAGTGGTTAAGCAACAAACAATCAATCAATCTATTAGTGCTAGTGTGACAGAAGAATGAATGAATCAATAAATAGATAGATCAAGGACTTACTATATAAATCCTTGGATAAATAAATAAATAAATGAATAAAAAAATATCTTAAAGGTCGGTACCAATACCAAACAGACAAGAAATCTTATGATGTTTTATATTGTCTGTTAAGTTTGTTCTCTGGTTTAATCAGACACTGGCGTAGATTTAGAGACACATTCGTCAGTCAATTATTGAAGACATATGTTTGTCTCTAAACATCTTTTGATTTTCATGTGTAGTTGGGTTGTTGTATCATTGACGTGTTCACCACACCTACTTTTAATCATATTCTTGAAACATTCAAACCTCTCTCTCCTACATATGGTAATCAATATCAAAATGCAATATTACGGGTAACAGATTTCTGTCAATTAGCGTGTAACACTATCCTAAACATGCGCGCTTGGAGTAGAAGTTCTTTATGTGTTGTTCATATATTTCTTCCACTGGATTGGTTCCGCTGTTGGTATTCTCTCAGTACCAAAGGCACATCCGTCCAGTACCAATCAGTGTGATTTAAAAATGATACATTTATTTTGTTTATACATTTCCAGTTCACAACATTGTTTAGTTGTGAAAATAAGGTTGCTACTGTTGAGCTAAGACCGGTTTAGCTGTTCTATTTAGGTCCTAAGCTATTTATATGATTCTTTAAAAAAATATTTCGCAATCGTTTCAATATTTACAATACCTGTGCAGGTAACGTATTTTTCTGTTTATAGTATGACACGGAGCAGACTTGTTTACTACACCAAAAATATCTATCATCTACATCGAGTTTTACTAAAGGTATATCAAATATGACTTTGTATGGATATTATTTACATAGAATTATTGTAAATTATGGAGACCTAATAATTCTAACGATCTGGTGGATTTTAATCTATGTACAAGACATATGAGGAATATTTAGTCGTTTTCAAGTTGTAAAAAAATTTGATTCAATGAGTTTAATATTATACTAAATAATAAACATTCATCCAGGAACTAGACTTTTCAAAAGCAATACGACTGAATCTCCCTTTATTAACTTAAAGACCCCAAGACTTTTGTAGAAACGAGATATGTTAGAAAAATGCATTCTATATTTTTCTATAAAAGAATAAGGAGATGTTGTTACTGCTAGGATAACCAGTGAAGCAACTATACACTAGAGACTAACGGACGTTGATATAAACAACTAAACACTAGAGACTAACGGACGTGGATATAAACAACTATACACTAGAGACTAACGGACGTTGATATAAACAACTATACACTAGAGACTAACGGATGTTGATATAAACAACTATACACTAGAGACTAACGGACGTTGATATAAACAACTATACACTGGAGACTAACGGACGTTGATATAAACAACTAAACACTAGAGACTAACGAATGTTGATATAAACAACTATACACTAGAGACTAACGGACGTGGATATAAACAACTATACACTAGAGACTAACGGACGTTGTATATAAACAACTAAACACTAGAGACTAACGGACGTGGATATAAACAACTATACACTAGAGGCTTACGGACGTTGATATAAACAACTAAACACTAGAGACTAACGGATGTTGATATAAACAACTTTACACTAGAGACTAACGGACGTTGATATAAACAACTATACACTAGAGACTAACGAATGTTGATATAAACAACTATACTCTGAGACTAACGGACGTTGCTATAAACAACTATACACTAGAGACTAACGGACGTTGCTATAAACAACTATACACTAGAGACTAACGGACGTTGCTATAAACAACTATACACTAGAGACTAACGGACGTTGCTATAAACAACTATACACTAGAGACTAACGGATGTGGATATAAACAACTATACACTAGAGACTAACGGACGTTGATATAAAACAACTAAACACTAGAGACTAACGGATGTTGATATAAACAACTATACACTAGAGACTAACGGACGTGGATATAAACAACTATACACTAGAGACTAACGGACGTTGTATATAAACAACTAAACACTAGAGACTAACGGACGTGGATATAAACAACTATACACTAGAGACTAACGGACGTTGATATAAACAACTAAACACTAGAGACTAACGGATGTTGATATAAACAACTATACACTAAAGACTAACGGACGTTGTATATAAACAACTATACACTAGAGACTAACGAATGTTGATATAAACAACTAAACACTAGAGACTAACGGACGTTGATATAAACAACTATACACTAGAGACTAACGGACGTGGATATAAACAACTATACACTAGAGACTAACGGACGTTGTATATAAATAACTAAACACTAGAGACTAACGGATGTTGATATAAACAACTATACACTAGAGACTAACGGACGTTGATATAAACAACTATACACTAGAGACTAACGGACGTTGATATAAACAACTTAACACTAGAGACTAACGGACGTTGATATAAACAACTATACACTAGAGACTAACGGACGTTGATATAAACAACTATACACTAGAGACTAACGGACGTTGATATAAACAACCATAGGCCACCGTATGCATATGCTTATTTGATATTTTTGTTCGGAAATTGTATCCAGTTCAATGTTACTTTAATTGTTTGGTTTGATTTCTATACACTGTGTGGACGACATCAATATTTTTTTTTTATTGATCCAATAAACAGATGTATGGTAGTTTGAAACATTAACATTCCTAAAAAAAACACATGCCAGGAGTTTATCCAATTTTGTCTCCATCATTACATTTGATAGACACTGGTTTCTTTAGGTTATACTCCGAGCTTGTTCAGGACTTTGAACAGATTGTACACTCGGGGACACGGAGTCATCTAGCAATATCACTGCCCGAGTGAATGTAATAAAACATGATACAGAATTTAATGCTCACTTGTTTGTGTAAACTTCATCTTGCATGCTGAAACTTAACGTCCAGGAAGACAGTTAACGATGAAAGTAACTTTACAATTGATGCATCTGAGATCACCCCTGGTTTTGGTGGGCTCGTGTTGCCCAGTCTATTGTATTCTGTGTTGTGTTTTGTGTAGTGTTGTTTTTCTTTTCGTCGTTTTTCGTTTTTGCCATGGCATTGTCAGTTTGTCTTCGTCTTATGAATTTGATTATCCCTATGGTATCTTCCGCCTTTCTTCTAATATATGGTTGTGTGATAATTGAGTATATTGGGTTTATGTTTCAGTAGATGTATACATCTTTAACAATCCGTTACAATTAGGAGCAGTGGTATGCTGACATTTTCCAAGTTTTGTGCTGATGACATTTTGTTCCCACCAATTTCAATGCATTTAATCTGATTTTCAACCTGAAAACGGAAAACTCGTTCATCAAAAATATGATATAAACCTTTGTTCTTTCAACGATAATTTAATGCTTATGAAAGGCACACAAGGTTTTTTTCCAACTGTTGAGTCGACTTTCCCGAGATCCTTGATAAATTACTTCATTGAGTATTGTCATTTCATATATGACGTACACAGAAAATAAACCGTTGGTTTATTGTCCACGTATTTATGTTTGCCAAGCTAAGCATATATAAAGCATTGCCATGATAATAAATCATAACTACTATATCACGTTGGTGTATAACGACCTTGACTTTCTGTAAAGCCCTCGAAAGACCAGCCCACAAACGTAATTGCATAAAACTGAAACACATAATTTGTCTGAAGGAATAGATACATCATTCGCGTAACATTGCAAAAATTTTGAACTTGCATATATCAACCATCATCATAAAAATGTGCGTTACTTATCTTGAAAAGATTTTAGTGTTACATGTAAAAATGTTAATCGTTATCTTAACTCTTCTCCAAGATTAATTCTTTAAAAAAAAGATTTTAAGTGACAATGACAATTTACTCCTCCGTAATGTAACGCCATCAATCCATCAAACTAACTTAACCCTACACAAACAGAATAATAAAGACACTTTTTTCAGTTATTTTTTATCTTTTTTGTTTTGTTTGTGTAACTCCTTTTATTCATACATTTGCAAATAATAAAAGAATAAACTGATAAATATTGATTGCATTTTATTGATATCAGAACTGTATCAATATATGACCACTATAGAAGTGAATATTTAATTTGAACTAAAAAAGAAAATATTGATGGCACAAAACGACTACGGTACACTAAAAAACCCATTTATGATTTATATTGTAATATACACACTTTGTCTTTTGTCGATTCTTTTTAAAATTATAAACACACCAGAAGCACTTTGGGAAATGCCGATCGCTCAGTTTGTCGTTTGACTTGAATATTAAAAAAATATTATATAATTATAGTTTTCAAACTATTCAACTCTTACTGGTGTGGTTGATGATTGTTGTAGAGTGTCTTCGAAGTCTTCAACATTACAATAGACAAGAGGAATCCGAACAGACTGGAGTGTACAGGTGAGTTGTTGACAAAAAGTACTCTTATGCGAGAAATGCGATGGAAAAAGTAACATTAATAAGAATTAGCCTGTTAAATTCTAATGGAATTACACTTATGCATCATTTCCCAACAATTGATTAAGTTCAACTTACATTGTGTCCTTTAATCAATAATTACATAAATTTATGAACGCGATGGATTTTTTTTAGTTTATATTATTATTTCTTCTAAATTAATGTTGTCAATAATAAGAAGTCAGATATATTCGTAGAATTAACCGATAAGACATTGTTTACAAAGTTTGAAAAAAGAAGAACTATGAATGGGAAATTTCTTTTCGTTAGTGATCAGGTAACTCGCAAATAAAGAGGCTCATTCTGGTCAATGTAAACTTAGACCGTATCAAGGAGAACAGTTTATTTCTATAAATAGCTACTTTAAATGCAGGAATTTTTTAAAGAAAATACCACAGTTCTATCAAAATTCCTCAATAAG